CACCAGGACGAAGGGCCCGAACAACTCACACCACGAGAAGCCCGAACGACTCAAACCAGGACGAAGAGCCCGAACGACTCAAACCACGAAGAGCCCGAACGACTTACACCAGGAAGAAGGGCCCGAACGACTCACACCAGGACGAGAGGCCCGAACGACTCAAACCACGAGGAGCCCGAACGGCTCGCACCAGGACCAGGGGCCCGAACGACTCACACCACGAGGAGCCCGAACGACTCACACCAGGAAGAGGGGCCCGAAGGACTCACACAAGGACGATTGGGCCGAACGACTCACCCCACGAGGGGCCCCAACGACTCCCACCAGTCGTCGTCGTCGTCGTCGTCGTCGTCGTCGTCGTCGTCGTCGTCGTCGCCGCCGCCTTCGTCGTCGTCGTCGTCGTCGACGTCGTCGTCGTCGTCGTCGTCGCGGTTGTGGTCGTCGTCGTCGTCGCGGTCGATATCGTCGTCGTCGTCGGGTGCGTCGTCGTTGTTAGAATCATCGCTGTGGTCGTCTCCGCTAAATCCCTCTTGCCTCCCACCGCTTTCTCTCCCTCCTCCTCCGCCTCGTCCTTCTCCCGCTCCCACCACAAGGAGGATGTACAAGGAGGCGGGAGGAAGGAGGAACAGGGGAGATATGCGGGGGCAGGCGGACACACGCCTGAAAAACACGACTGTCGGCATGCTTCGTAAGAGTTGCTGTTTTGAGATGGGCTGGTGGGGATACGCGAAGCGTGAAGAATTACCCTGGCGAAGTACCCAACCCCTGCGCAATGCGGCGCAGGAGTAGCTTGGGACATTTGACGAGAAGGCGGCGACGTGACATGGACGCATATACTTCTGCGAACGGCATTCGAAAGGTTCGCAGGTCCCCAATCAAGGGAAACACGATGAGTAGCTAACTGAACACCTGAGTCACTAAGGAAGACGCAAGGTCCAACAGGAGACGGTGGGCAAGGGGCTTGAAACATCGGCGGGGGCAGCAGCAACATGACATGCCCCCCCCCCCCAGGGACGGCGAGCCCCGCTCAGGTCTACGCAGTGCCTCCCTCCGCTGGACCCATCAGCAGCCCTCGAACGTGGCGAGCCCACCAGCAACCCTCGCACATGGCGGCATTTTCACAGATCGCAGCCCCCCCAAGGACGGAGAGGTCCCGCTCAGATCCGCGCGGGGTCCTCAAAGGTGGCGACAATTTCGCTGATCGCAGCCCCCCAGTGACGGGGAGGTCCCGCTCAGATCCGCGCGGTGCCTCATCCGCTGGACCCACCAGCAGCCCTCGAACGTGGCGATAATTTCGCAGATCACAGCCCCCCAGGGACGGGGAGGTCCCGCTCAAATCTGCGCGGTGCCTCACCCCGCTGGACACACCAGCAGCCCTCGAACGTGGCGACAATTTCGCAGATCGCAGCCCCCCAGGGACGGGGAGGTCCCGCTCAGATCCGCGCGGTGCCTCATTCCGCTGGACCCACCAGCAGCCCTCGAAAGTGGCGACAAATTTCGCAGATCGCAGCCCCCCAGGGACGGGGAGGTCCCGCTCAGATCCGCGCGGTGCCTCACTCCGCGGCGCCCACCAGCAGCCCTCGAAAATGGCGACAACATCGCAGATCGCAGCTCCCTAGGGACGGGAAAGTCCCGCTCAGATCCGCGCGGTGCCTGACTCGGCTGGACCCACCAGCAGCCCTCGAAAATGGCGACAATTTCGCAGATCACAGCCCCCCAGGGACAGGGAGGTCCCGCTCAGATCCGCGCGGTGCCTCACTCCGCTGGACCCACCAGCAGCCCTCGAACGTGGCGACAGCTTCGCAGATCGCAGCCCCCCAGGGACGGGGAGGTCCCGCTCACATCCGCGCGGTGCCGCACTCCGCTGGACCCCCCAGCAGCCCTCGAACGTGGCGACGATTTCGCAGATCACAACCCCCCAAGGAAGGAAAGAGGAGACAAGAAGGAGGGGGGGTCGGGAGGCGGGAGGCGGGAGGCCGGAGGCGGGAGGCGGGAGGACGCGCGAGCAGTGCTCTATTCGAAACGAATACCCAACCGAAGAGGGGAGGTTTGGGAAAATCAAGCACGCAGCAAAAGCAGATCGACTCTTAAAGTGTGAAGGCGCTAGGAGTAGATTGAGACCTGGGAGTCCAGACACACCTACTTTCAACGACCGGCGTGTAAGCTTGCGTGTGTAAGGCTGGCGTAGGCGGTCGTTGGGCGTGCATTGACAGCACCTGATGAGCTCGAGGTGTGGCTGCAAGAGCACATTCCGAAGTTTAGGCAGGATAGTTTTGAGCATGCCTGAACGGTTTTAGAGAGAACCTGCCTCTTAAAGGAACAACGGAGACAGAACTCCAGGATCAAGGCTGTGCTCGGCTGCAGCGCAGCCGAAAACCTACCGAAACGATAACGACGCCGAGGCCGAAATCGACAGGCCGCAAGGATCCCAGGAGTGCGCAGCGACGCAGCAGTGGCACGACAACCGACCGAACCGATCCGACCGAGAGCAACCGACCGCGGCACAGCTGAGCCGACCGAACCGTGGCCCCTCCTGCTGGTCTGCCGGGCAGGGGATCTGATGATGGTTGCTGCTGCCTGCTTGAAGTGGCCCGTGGGCCACGCACCCCGCACCGCCCGAGTCACGGGCAGCCTCGAAACGGAGGCGGTAGCAGGCGCCGCCTCGCCGAGCAGAGCCGCCACATGCAAAACTCAGCAGCAGGTCGTCTCAACGCTCTCCTGAAGATGATGGCGGTGAGGATGACGAGGACCCAACGGCGGTTGCGATGACTGCAGAGGTGGTGATGGACGGCGATCTCGTCCACTCTGGACAATGGCAATGACCGCTGGCAAGCGATGCTGAACAGCAGTGTCCACTGGCGCGCGGAGCGGCAGGGAGACAGCTAATTATGTTGACAAACGTGCCCTGCAACGGGCTCCATCGATGCCGCACCAACTCTGACAGAGCAGGTGGGGCGCCAAGGGCAAGCAACCAGAGGAGGAGGGGAGGGGAAGATTACGGTGACGACGAGCGGGAGCAGCAAGCGCGGCTCGTCCTTGGCGTTCTCGAGGTGGGGGCTAGCGGCGTCGTGCCAGTGGGACGTCGCCTCCGCCGCCTTGCCGGCCACGTGCCCAAGCGAGTCCTTGGCCTTCTCCGGGGGGTGAGCGATAGGGGGACTCCTTTTCCTCCTCCTCCTCCTCCTCCTCCTCCTCCTCCTCCTCCTCCTCCTCCTCCTCCTCCCCCAGGGGCTGAGGCGCTGCACTGCACCACGGCCAAGCAACTTTGCGCAACGTGTCGCGGCGGCGGGCCCCGCGACACGCTGTGCCTTGGAGGCCTGGAAGTGGGCACCAACACCAACACACGGGTTGGCCTCCACGTGGGGAAGAGGATCCTGGATTTCGGTGTTGGTGGTACTATTTCGGTCACCTTAGAAGCCAGAATGTTACCACCATCGCCGAGATCAGGATCGTCTTCCCTCGGAGGAGGCACACCGCCGATCTTGGTGTTGCTGTCAACCTCCAGGCCTGCGACATGTGCCGTGAAAGCGGCTGTGCGCCTCTGGCCATCGCTCGGACGTCCATTCCCTGTGTTTTTTTCTGTATTGTGCGTGGTTTTTTCGCCAAATGATCAAGGATGCTCCTCGATGGTCTTCGCCGAAAGGAAAAATGCACACGTCCGAGCGATGCCAGGGCCTGGAGGCTTGGACCGAGATCGGGATCTTCTTCCCTCGGTGGAGGCACACCACCGATATTGGTGTTGGTGTCAACCTCTAGGCCTGCGACACTCGTCGGCCTTCCATGTCCAGACATGCGGCGTCCTGACTTTTGCAGGACGGCGCCCCTGGAAGTCCCGACCCCTTCCCCGAGCTCGGTTTTCCGCCCAAGCTCGTTTTTTGACGGCCCCGAGGCCCGGCAAGGGCCCCCCTCGGGGCCGAAAATAGCCAAACACCTCCCGCCCTGATTGACGCGATCGTGTCTGGGTGGTGAACGCCGCATAGGGGCCCCCGGGGGCCGAAACAAACCAAACACCTCCCGCCCTGATTTTTTGAAACGAACGCCGAATATCGGCGGTGGACAAACCTCCCTTGAGTAAACCTCCATGTAGTGAAAACGGCCTAGGACCAAAACCGACGGACCTGGACCCGCAAGAAGAACGGCCGCGACGCCCTCTCGCGAACCGAAAACAGTCAATTCCGTAATCGACGTGTCGGGGCCGAAACCTCCCGCCCTCCTCCTCCTCCTCCTCCTCCTCCTCCTCCTCAAACGACGCGATCGTGTCTGGGTGGTGAACGCCGAACAAACGGGCCGAGAGGTCTCCTCCGGCCGCGGCGGGCCTCGGCCGCGAGCCCGGTGCCCGACCCGGGTGTCCCGGAGGAGCGCGGCCGGGCGGAGCGGAGCCCCCGGCCGGAGCCTCGCCCGCGGAGAGAGGGCGACGGGTCGCTCCCCGCCTCGGCGCCGCGCGCGTGGGAAAAAACACAGTGGACAAAAAAAACACACTGTGTGTGTTTTTTCCCACAGTGTGTGTGTGTGTGTTTTCCCACTGTGTGTTTCGTGTGTTGTTTTGTCACACGTTTTTTTTTTTTTCTTCCCCCCCCCCCCACAGTGTGTTTTTGTTCCCACAGTGTGTTTTTTCCCACAGACTCTTCCAGAGAGAGTTGGCCTCCCGCCGGGACGCGGCGCGCAGTGTCCACGCGCCAGTCTTCGTCGCCGACGCGCGAGGGGGCGGCAGTGCAACTTCTAGCCTCGGCGCTGCGCAGATGCCGCCCGAAGCCCGGCGCTCCCGCCGCGGAGCGGCGCTCGGTTTCCGCTCGCCAAGGTCTGGGCCCCCGGCGCGGGCGGGCGGCTCGTCGTCCTCGCGCCAGATTTCTGTGCTCCTTTCGCTTGGAAGGGGCGTTCCAGCGTGGGCGCGGTGCTCCCGCCGCGGAGCGGCGCTCGTCTTCCACTCGCCAAGCTTTGGGCCCCCTGCGCGGGCGGGCGGCTTGTCGTCCTCGCCAGAGCTCTGTGCACATTTCGCTTGGGAGGGGCGTTGCAGCGTGGGCGCGGTGCATGCTTCGCTCGCCGCGACGTACAGTCGGGGCCCTGACCTAAGGAACGATAAAGAAGGAACGAGGCCCCTTTTTCCCGTATAGTAAGCTCCGACTTCCCAGGGAAAACCTCAGGAAAACCCAAGGAGCACTGTAAAGCAACTAAGGAACACGGAGCCCCTCCCCAACGAAAAGGGTTCCTTCTTCAGGGCCCCGACTGAACAAAATGTTTCGCTCGCCGAATCGCATGGAGGCGATAGCGGCAGCGGAGCCGCGCGAGAGCGGGGAAGTGCTGTCCTCGCCCAAGGCGCTGCGCAATCTGTGCGCGAAGGGGGCAGTGCTGTTTCGGCGCGGCGTGTGCTTCGTTTTCGCCGCGGCCATCGGACATCTGGCCGCCCGGGAAACGGGTCACTGCCGCCGCAGCGCCGCGCAATTTGGTTTCTGAAGTTCCTGCGCGGCCCGCGTTGCCGTCCAGGCTCCAAGTCGTCGGACGAATGGCCGCGCTCCAGTGTCTTCGTTCCCCTTTTTGGAACGCGTTCAAATCCCAACTTCAAGTTATGCCAAGCAAATTCTAGATTATGGGTGGGGGGAATGAGCGGGTCCGGCTGACTCTTTCGACCTGGCTAACACGGCTCCTAATCCTACTCCACCTCCCGTCGTCTTCCTCCTCCTCCTGCTCCTCCTCCTCGGCCTCTTCATCCTCTTCATCAGCATCATCCTCCTTTCTCCTCCTTCCCCCTACTCGCGCCCTCCCCCGTTCCGCCTGCGCTCCCTCCTTGCCCGTCGCCTGGTCCGCATCCTCGTCTTCATCATATTTGTTTACCTCCCTTCCTCGTGCTCCTCCTCTCCCACCTCTTCCAGTTCGCATTCCTCTCCGCATTCGCTTCCTCTTACCCTTCCCCCATGGGGGATCGAATATCGCTGTATCTCGGTGTGTGTGTGTGGCCCCTCTGAGCAACGCCACCCTCCCCCGTCCTGCCACTCCCCCCCCCTCTCATCATCCGTCTCCGTTTCCGTCTCCTTCAGCTCCTCCTCCTCCTCCTCCTCCTCCTCCTCTCCCTCCCTCCCTCCCTCCCTCCCCCTCCTCCCTCCCCTCCCCTCCTCCCTCCCTCCCTCCCTCCTCCTCCTCCCTTCCCTCCCTCCCCTCCTCCCTCCCCTCCCTCCCTCCCTCCCTCCCTCCCTCCCTCCCTCCCTCCCTCCCTCCCTCCCTCCTCCCTCCCTCCCTCCCTCCCTCCTCTCCTCCTCCTCCTCCTCTCCTCCTCATCCTCCCCTCCCTCTCCTCCTCCTCTCCTCCTCCTCCTCCTCCTCCCTCCTCCTCCCTCCCCTCCCTCCTCCCTCCTCCCTCCTCCCCCTCCTCCATCCTCCCTCCTCCTCTCCTCTCCTCCTCCCTCTTCCATCCCTCCCTCCCTCCCTCCTCCCTCTCCCTCTCCCTCCTCCCTCCTCCCTCCTCCCTCCTCCTCCTTCCCTCCTCCTCCTCCCTCTCCTCCCTCCTCCTCCTCCTCCTCCTCCTCCTCCTCCTCCTCCTCCTCCTCCTCCTCCTCCTCCTCCTCCTCCTCCTCCTCCTCCTCCTCTGCCCCACCCACATCCTCCTCCTCCTCCTCCTCCCTGCCCCACATGTTCACTGCGCCCTCTACTGCATCCCCCCTCCTCCCGACCCCCCGTCCCTGCTAACGGATAACCCCTCCTTGCCGTACCCATAGAAGTGGCATGCCGCACGACGCCCCCCCGCCACCGTCGATGTCCCCAACGGCCTGGCGGGCACCGCGGTCACAAGGATAGGGCCCAGATGCTTTTCAACATGGGGCTCTCGCGTCGGTGCTGGGCACATTGCATTGGCATCCAGAGCCTGCGGCAGGTGCAAAAGCAGGGCGGCCCCTCTTCAGTCAGAGGCTCTCGCCTGAGCGCCGCGCACAGCCGCCTCGAAGGCTTGCAGCAATTGCGCTCATGGGCACGCGGGATCTTCACAGCGGGGCTCTCGCCTCTGCGCCGCGCGCCCTCGTCGCTGACGCCTGCACCACACCACTTACAGGGATGGCGGGCGGCTTCCTTGTCGGGCTGGGGCTCCCCCCTGGATCTCGCAACAGTTAAAAACCTGCAGGGCTGGCGGGCGGCTCCTTTGATGAGCCTGATTTCCACCACCGCCAGCATGAGTTGGAGGGGGGGGGAGAGGGTCTTCCTCCCCGTCTTCTTCCTCCTCCTCCTCCTCCTCCTCCTCCTCCTCCTCCTCCTCCTCCTCCTCCTCCACCTCCTTCCCCCCTCAACTTCTGGCGGCGGTGGTGGGAACGCAGGCCCGGCACCCTTCCCACAAGGTGCCGTCGCTGGGGACGCCCTGCGGCGACGTGCGCGGAGCTCCGTGCGGCGGCAGCCGCACGGGCGGAGAGGCCAGAGCTCGCTTTCCCCTGCTGCAGGGTGTGGGGCGCTCGCGGGACGCCCCCCTTCCGTGGGCCTTCTCGCGGCTGGAGGGAGAGCGTACTCCAGATTTCGTAGTAAAGGGACGGGGGTCTCATTTCGGGGGGGGGGTCTCTTCCAGGCTATCTTGGAGGGCCTGGGGGGGTCTGGGGACGATGTTTTGGAGGGTTCTCCCACGGGGGGGGGGTCTAAAACTTGTCGTCTGGGAGGGTTGAGACCCCCTCCCTTTTGTTACGAAATCTGGAGTAGGTGTACTGTGCCTCAGCCACACGGGGGGGAGGGGGGCGGCCCTTGTCGACCATCGGGGATCTCGTTGGACACCTCGGCGAGCTCTACGTCGGGCGTGTCCCTCCACAGGAGGAGTACCCAAAAGTAGCTCAAACATGGTCGGAGGGGGCCATTTCTCGACGACGCTTCCCTTTGCAAGGTGGGGGTTCTCGCCTGACACTTCCGTGAACCTCGCGGCTTTAACGAAAGTGTACTCTGGATCGCTTCATCATCGCCCCCCCCCCCCCCGTGGAGTGCCCGGGGGGGCTGGCCGCGGCGCGTCCGCGGGGGTGCCAGGGGGGGGGCCTGGGGGGTCGATCCCTTCTCCCGCTGGGGCGCGGGGGTGGTACCGGGGGGCGGGGGGGGGGCTGGCCGCGCCGCGTTTTCACGTTTGTCCCCCCGAAGCTGACTGATAGGAAGTACGGAGTAAGCTTGTGCATCAGTCACAC